ATATATTAAAAAACAGATTTAAATTATTTTTCCAACTTGTAATGTTAACAGCAGTATATGTGACTGTGATGTTTTCCTTTGATGTTAATTTTCACTTTGACAGTAGCCTTCATTTTCCAGTTTTTGTTTTGTTTTGTGATAAGGTCTGGCTGTTTCACCAAGGCTGGAGTGCGGCAGGGCTATCTCAGCTTACTGCAAGCTCCGCCTCCCAGGCTCAAGTGATCCTGCCACCTCAGTCTCCCGAATAGCTGGGACTACAGGCATGCACCACCATGTCTGGCTAATTTTTTGTAATTTTTGTAGAGAGGAGGTTTCAACATGTTGGTCAGTCTGGTCTGGAACTCCTGACCTCCGCCCACCTCGATGTCCCAAAGTGTTGGGATTACAGGCATGAGCCACTGCGCCCTTATAATTTTCCAAATTCTTTACTAAGTATTTCTCTTACATTCATAACATAAAGTGCTATTTTAAATAGACTGACTTTAGAAAATAACATAGATAAAGCACTAAATGGGAGCATCAGAGGAACAGGTTAAAAAAAGCTGGATTATTCTTCAGGATTAGGGACATTGAGATATTTTATTTATAAAATGATATTTAAATTTTAATAATAGAATGGTTGTACTTTTGCTTGGAGTATTTAAATCTTCTCTTTAATATTTAAAGCCAGTTCTGCACAGAAGTTTTAAGGAGATGCTTATTGTTGTATGAAAAGGAATATTATTCTGGAATTTTGAGGAAGGGTAGACATAGAGAAGAGAAAGGAAACTCATAGCCTACCTAGGTTTTATTTGGGCTTGTGTGTGTGTGTGTGTGTGTGTGTGTGTGTGTGCACCAATCACAAGCTGGGTTTATTCTTGAATAAACTCTAGACAAATTGTTTTTATGAATCTTCTAATACCTGCATTTACATAGTCCATGGTTGTGTCTAAACGAGATTCTCAAGAGAACTTGGTTTGTTTTAAAGGCATTTAATTAGTTATATTTACATGGACAAATAGAGCAGCAGTTTATTTAAAAGGAATGAAAGGATAAACAAATTAAATATACATAGAACAGGAAAGACAGTATTTAATTATGTTTCTGGGTCAAGCTCTGATATATAAGATTCACTTAAAATTGGGATTTGGCAAGTAATTTCTATCGAAATCTCAGCAGGAGTTTTTGTTGCAACTAACAAGCTGATTTGGAAATTTTCATGGAAAGTCATAGGATCTAGAGCTATCAAAAAGACCTTGGAAAAGGGGAAGAAAGTTGGAGGGCTTCCATTTCTCTGTTTTAAAAGGTACTGTAAAGCTATAGTAATCAAGATAGCAGGCAACTCACATGGGTATAAATTTAGACCAATGAAATATAATTAATTACAGTTGGTCCTTGAACAACACGAAGGTTAGAACCCCCGCACATTCGAAAATTCACTTAAAACTTTTTACCCCCAACCAGTACTTAACAACTAATAGTCTACTCTTGACTGGAAACCTTACCAATAACATAAACAGCTACTTATCACATCTTTTATATGTTATATATACAATACACTGGCTTCTCACAATAAACTAAGTTAGAGAAAAGAAAGCACCGTTAAGAAAATCATAAGGAAGAGAACATATATTTACCACTCATTAAATAGAAGTGGATCTTCTTAAAGGTCTTTATCCTCATCTTCAGGGTGAATAGGCTGAGGAGGAGGAGGGAGAGGAGAGGTTGTTCTTGCAGTCTCAGGGGTGGCAGAGGCGGAAAAAATCCACATATAAGTGGATCTGCACAGTTCAGACCTGTGTTGTTCAAGCATCAATTATAAAGGCTTAGAAATAAATCCTTCAATTTGTAGTCAGTAGATTTTTAACAACGATGTCAAAACAATTAAAGGAGGCAAGGACAATCCTTTCAATAAATGGTGCTGAGACAATTGGATATTCATATGTAAAAAGATGAATTTCAACTCTTATCTCTTATTGTACCCCAAAATTAACTCAAAATGAATGGCAGATGAAAATGTAAGAATGAAAACTCTTAAACTTTTAGGAAACTTAGGCAACTTTTAGGAAACACAAGAGAAGGTCTTCAGGGCCATGGATTGGGAAAGATTTCATAAGTATGACCTCAAAAGTACAACCCTTAAAAGAAAAGAACTGATCAAGTGAAACTCATCAAAATTAAAAACTTTTGCACTTCAAAAGGCACTATTGAGGACATAAAGTGCTATTTGTTGAGAAAACCAAAAGATAAGCCATAAACTGGGAAAGGAGATTTACCAACCATATTCCTGGTAAAAGACTTTTATCTAGAAAATACTTAAACAAACCACTTACTATTCAATAATAAGAAGGAAAGAAATTATTTTTAATGGGCAAAAAGTAATAGACATTTCTGCAAAGAGAGTGTACATGAGAAGATATTTAACATCATTAGTTACTAGACATTAGCTAAATGCAAATGAAAACTACAATGAGGCCAGGTACAGTGGCTCATGCCTGTAATCCCAGCACTTTAGGAGGCCAAGGTGAGTGGATTGCTTGAGGCCAGGAGTCCAAGACCAACCTGGCCAACAGGGCAAGACCCATGTCTACTAAAAATACAAACATTAGTCAGGAATAGTGGTGCACACCTGTAGTCCCAGCTACTCGAGAAGCTGAGGCATGAAAATTGCTGAAACCCAAGAGGTGGAGGTTGTCGTGAGCTGAGATCGTGCCACTGCACTCCAGCCTGGGTAACAGAGCAAGACTTTGAGAAAAAAAGAAAAAAAAACCTACAATGAGACATCCATTAGTATGGTTATAACAAAAAAATATATTAGCAAGTTTTGGCTAGGTAATAGAGAAATGGAGACCCTTTATACCACCGTTGGTGAGAATGCCAAGTATTGCAGCTGATTTGGAAAATAGTCTGTCAGTTTATTAAAACATTGAGCATAAATTTGCCTTATGAAACAGCAATTTCACCCCTAGGTATCTATGCAATAGAGATGAAAACATATATCCGTGCAAAAAATAGTACACAAATAAATGTTCATAGCAGCTTTATTAGTAATAATCAACAAGTAGAAATAAACCAAATGTCACTCAACAAATAAATGGATTTTAAAAATGTGGTATACCCATACAATGGAAAATAATTTAGCCATAAAAAGGAATGAAGTAGGCCGGGCGCGGTGGCTCAAGCCTGTAATCTCAGCACTTTGGGAGGCCGAGGCGGGCGGATCACGAGGTCAGGAGATCGAGACCATCCTGGCTAACACGGTGAAACCCCGTCTCTACTAAAAAATACAAAAAACTAGCTGGGCGAGGTGGCGGGCGCCTGTAGTCCCAGCTACTCGGGAGGCTGAGGCAGGAGAATGGTGTGAACCCAGGAGGCGGAGCTTGCAGTGAGCTGAGATCTTGCCACTGCACTCCAGCCTGGGCGACAGAGCGAGACTCCGTCTCAAAAAAAAAAAAAAAAAAAAGGAATGAAGTATTGATTCATGCTACAGTATGGAAGGACATTGAAAACATTGTGCTAAGTAAAAGGAGCCAGACACAAAATACCATATATTATATGTGTTTATTTATATGAAAAGCCTAGAAAAGGCAAGTCTTATAAAGACGGAAAGTGGATCAGCAAGGCTATCACACCCACCCAGGTCTGGTTTTAAAGGGTATTAAGCCCCCATGAAATGGACATTATTTAACTTTTGTTTGATGTATGGAAACAGCATTATCAAGTCTTGGTTTCAAAATATGTTTAAGCTCTTCTGAGTTATGTAGAACGGAAGAGTGTTTTTCATTTGCAAGTGTTGGAGATGACAATATTTTCCCTCTGCCTTAATCCACTTATCCTAGAACCCTACAGGAAGGCAAAGGCTGTTTTAATTGATTGACGCGGTTGTTGATAGTGGGATATGCATACATGGGCTGCATCTGTCTGTGAAAAGGAAGCAATGGAGCCAATTAATTAATTCAAGCAAAATTAAATGTTCACACCATTTAAATGTGGAAAGTATAAAAACCAAAATGGTGCTCTGTGCAGAAAGACCATAAGCTAGTTTGTGCCATCCTTCAGGGCCGCTTCCTGCATTGTGCCTGTATTAAAATTCCTATGCAGTTCTTACTGAGGTGATCAAGGTAGATGACTTCGATTTTTATTTTCTTCAAAAAATTCAAGTACCAATAACTTTCAAATGATATTTAATAACTATTTTAAACACAGAGGACATAATCTGCAAATGATATTTAATAACTGTTTTAAACACAGAGGACATAACTTTCAAATGATATTTCATAACTATTTTAAACACATAGGACATGGTCTATAATGTTTTGTCCTGACTTAAATATTTATTGCATGTAGTAGATTTTAATAGAAGAAAACAAGAGTGAATAATGGGTAGTGCTTCTCTAAACACAGAGTAGAGGTAAATCTTAGTGATTTAAATTATTAACAATTCTGACTTTTTGAGATTGCATGTTTATAGGTTTTTAATGCATGAAATTAATGTCAATTTTATGGTATTTTGATTAAAGTCCTTCCATGTTTACTGTGTGTTTTTGCTTGCCTTATGAAAATTTCTAACCATAATGTATCAATAACAATTCAAAAATTCATTTAAATTAAAACATGTTAAAATCAGAGGACCATTGAATACGCCATAAGCATTTCTTTAAAGAATGTGGGAAATATCTTTTCTAATAATTTAATTTCTCTTTTTTAAAAACAACTCACGTTAGCATTTTTTTTTTGCAGTAGCATCATTTTAACCCCCAACTGCATATTCACAGGATATCTAATATTTTTTGCAAGTAACATTTTGAATTTGTTCTTCTTGACATCTTTATGTTTATATGCATTTTGCATTTCCCTATCTCATTTTTTTGAAATCCAAATGTAACCGATTTCAACTTTTTGTGTTACATTCTTTTTTTTTTCTTTTACTGGGTAGCATCTCTCTTTTCTGAGTTTTTTGCAAACCTGTTGTTTTTGAATTCTCTTTTTTCCCTTTATTTTCCTTCTCAATATGACCCCAGGAGCCAACACAAAGAAAAACGCAGATGATATAACCAGTAATGACCGTGGTGAAGATGAAGGTATTTTTTGTTTTTTCAAAGCTCAACCCTGATGCATGATTTTATATCTATCTATCTCTCTTTTTTTTTCATTTCAATCTGTTTTTTCTCCCCTTATTTAAAACTAGTACACTTTGGTGTGCTTCCTTAATTATTTTCTTCTTGTATAGAAACCATTGTCATTTTTAATCCCAGTTACCATGTACAGGAAACAAATCACTCTGAGAAGTATAAACATTGTTTCTAAACATGAAAAGAGTAATGAACTACTGTTTACAGAGAAGCCCATCTTTTTTTTTTTTTTTTTTGGCTTGGTCACAAGAAGAGAAAATGGAATTTTAAAACATGCATGTGTAGTCTTTTTTCTTCCTTCCAAATGTTATTTTGTAAGTTAATATGCTACTTTGGAGCTTTGGTCTTCTTAATTATTTTTATAAACTGCAAAACTCTGCAGCACCTTAGAATATTTTTTTTTGGGGGGGGCTGAAATATCAGTTTTTTTTTCTTCACAAACATATTGATTCCAACATAGATTTCTGATAATCTTCTCACAGTGAAGTACACCAAAAAGTGTTTTAACGAGATGCTGTTGTTAACGAGTCCTGATGCTTTCAGGACTGCCTTTTACAGCATTTAAAGGAAAAAAAAAAAAAAGATAAGAGTATCTCAGAACTGAGAAAGGACAAAAAGCTAGCTATTCTTTTTACACTACGGCTTTTTTTGAAAACGTTTTTCTCCGTAAAATGTTTTGTTGCTGTGAAGTTTCTTCTTAAGGCTACCAAATTGCTCAACACATTATCTACCAGAAGTGAAAGGATTTTTTTTAAAAGATGGTAGGTCTGAGGTACTCATGCAGACAACTTGCACGCTGTTTTTCTGCCCTTTCTGTACCAGAAATGATTTTTTTAAAAAAGAGGGGAAGCAACAAAAAAAGTACTGAAGCAAGCCCTTCTTCATTGGTAAGGCTCTATAGGATTAGCTAAAAGCACATTTTTCCCGTCTGGGAAGCAAAATGCATGGAGCTCCATTAAGGCCCTGGCTGGACCTTTGGGTCTCTGTCTGAAAGGCAATTTAAAGCCCAAAAGTGAGTCCTGAATTATCTTTGCTGGTCAAGACCAACGTCCATGACAGGGTCTTTTGACCAATTCTTGTAGTTGCTCCCCGCCTTGCTTATCTTCATAAATCAACTGTTCTCCAAGAAAAGAAATCTTGCCAACACCCTTTCCATGCCCAGTCTTCCCTTAACATTTTGAATAGTAGTATTTTTACTGAGCTCATAGGGCTGTCACTGCCTCAAGTAGCTCTCTGAGAGATCTCAATTCTGATGGCCATGGAAGATCAAAATGTACACCTGCTTCAGGTAGCCCCTTCTTTGATAAGGGCTTCTGAATGCCTGACATTTTATCAGCATTGAGCAAATACATAAAAATGAAATAAACTTTTGTTGTCTCATACCTTATACTGCTATAATTTGCATCCTGTTTGGCTTTCTCTTTTTAATACATTTCCCTTTGATAATTAGGACCTGTTTTCACAATGTTCCCAGTGAATCTTATTACCATTGAAATGCCATCTAATTTTCATGATTAATATGACAACTGGTTATTACTTCCACAAGGTCAAGAGAGTCTTGTTCTATGTTTTATGAAAGGTAAGAGATGTTAATCTCACATGTTTTCCAAGGGAGCACTTTAAAGCAGCCCTTCAAAATCTCTACTTACCCTTTTTTCCACAATTTACCAGACAACTGCTGGTAATGGTAAAAGAAATGAGGCCAAAAACAGCAAATTAGGAATCAGAAAGAAGCAGTGGATCAGGAGAAAAGCCATTTCTTATTCATATAGCAGAAGACATTTCCTGTAGTATATGATGAATAAATGATTAATAGAAGATTTTTACTTTATATTTGAATTTAATATGAGAAATAAAAGCCACTTTTCTGCCGTGGATTAAATATCTGCAAAGAAATACTTGGGTAACTTGACACTGTTTTGTGTGCTTTACTGTGACCAGTGGGTATGTCATGTCTTCTGTGTACACCCAGGAAAATTGTGATCGTAATTCATTCAAATTGGAGCCACCGTCCAAACGATGGTAATTCATATCCTCAGAATTCTTTTCCAATATCTCAAAAGTGTCCCTGCGAATTATGAGGAAAAAAAAACTTTATTGAAGAAAAAATTGGAAATCAATATGCTTACATACTTGAGTTTTCTTTTAGTAACAAAGATATTTAAATTGTTTGTACACACACACACACACACACACACACACACACACACACACATATCTGTATCCAGAAATATTTATAGGTGAGGTCAGTCTTCTAAAGATTAAATGTAGCCCTAATTGCTGATTAATGTTATAAACAGTTTATTTAATCATAACTTTTCACAAAGCAGGCCCTACAGATGGTCCCCAGCTTCCTATCATCACAGATCATTGTTTTTACATCATTGTTAATTTAAATAATAAAGTAAATTATTAAGAGGAATTTTTGGTTGCAAGTCACAATGGGAGTTTATAGTCCCTGTGAAAATATAAAACATTCAAATAATTTGGATTATTTTGCCATTTTTTATTGCATCTCTTTTATTTTTGTCACTTAAGTATGTTAGTATGTTACTGTAATCACTGGAACAAAGACATTTGCTTGGACATCCTTCCTTTTTTTTCCTTATTTCTGTTCTGTTAATTTTTAACTATTGATTTTGCTTTCTTGTCATTATCTGTCCCTTATTGATAGTTTATAGCTTCACTACTACTCTTATGTTTTTACTGTTAAATTGAAGATGAATCTGTACACTCACCTGCAAATTAAGATGCAACTATATTAAAATTAATTATAATTTTGAAGTTGATTTTATACTTAATTAGAATATAAAATATATTTTGTCAAGGATTCCATGTGTTTATTCAATTTAAATCACATTTTAGGGTTTGAGCAAAATTTAGGAAATGTGTACTTTACCTAAAACCATTTCTTTTAGTGCTTTAGATATATATAGAAGCTTACATGAGCAGAGGATGCCAAATGTCTGTATGCTTCTTAAAATACCATTTCCATAAATAGAAAACGTAATAGCACTGATCATTTTCCTTAGAAACTCTTATCAAGGGTCATATCATCCATAAAAATAAATGTGCTTAATTCAAGTCAAAATAGGGAAATCAGTGAATCTCCTTTGTTCTTAATTGAGCATTGGTGAGTCAGTGTGATTCTTTATTGTGTTTCCTTACTTGGCTTTTTTTTCCAGATATTCATGATCAGAACAGTAAGAAGCCGGTTATGGTCTATATCCATGGGGGATCTTACATGGAGGGCACCGGCAACATGATTGATGGCAGCATTTTGGCCAGCTACGGAAATGTCATCGTGATCACTATTAACTACCGTCTGGGAATACTAGGTAAGTGATTTCATCATGTAAATGACTGAGCAACAGGAAACATGAAAGGTCCACTTCTTATTTTGACAGGGCTCGTGGATTTGAATCCTGTTATTCCAGTTCCTGGTTAATTCCACTTTATGGTATTTACTTTATGTGATCAGATATGTTTATTCCTTTTACTACCTTCGTGCAACATGGTCATTTTATTGTTTTTTTTTTTTTTAGCTTGCAATTTCTGATCCAATAATTTTATTTTGTGGAACCTGAATCCCTCCTCAAAACAATGCAGACTTTAAGATCTTCAAGATGAAATGAAATTTTATTTAAAGTATGTTTCTCCCTTGGAGTTCAATGAATATATGTTTGTCTGCATAGACCTGTACAATGAACACATATTTGGTGATATCATGGTTGGGAATGGCCATAGATCTTAGCTTTCTTTTCTGGTTGTGTCATTCTATGAATCAGTATATTGTGTGGAGGAAAATATCTTATCCAATTCTCTAACTGATTATGTTGAGCCTTTGGAAGATCTGTTGTTTTGGTTCCATTGCATTTGCATGCAAGGAAACTTAGCTGTTAGTTGGCTTTTGTTCCATTGATGATCTATGATTAAAGGCTGAATACGTGGAAATTCAAGTTTAATTCCTCCATGTTTTGATATTTCATTTCTTTTCTTTCTTTTTTTTTTTTTCTTCTTTGAGACGGAGTCTCACTCTGTCGCCCAGGCTGGAGTGCAGTGGCGCAATCTCGGCTCACTGCAGCCTCTGCAACATCTGCCTCCTGGGTTCAAGTGATTTTTCTGCCTCAGCGTCCCAAGTAGCTGGAACTACAGACTCATGCCACCATGCCCAGCTAATTTTTGTAGTTTTAATAGATACGGGGTTTCACCATATTGGCCAGGCTGGTCTCAAATTCCTGACCTCGTGGTCTGCCCGCCTCAGTCTCCCAAAATGCTGGGATTACAGGCGTGAGCCACCGCGCCCGACCGTCATTCATCTTCTTTTAATTGTAGGTTGGAAAATTATACGTCTTCAGGGTAAGATTTCAGTACCTTCTGAGATGGCCTTTCCTGGTGTTGGTTAGTTTGCAAATAATATTCCTAGACCTATGTAAAAACATTTGTTTTCCAGGCAAAAATGCATTGAAGTGGTGTAGAAAATAAAATTTTTAACAAGTTAGCCATGAGAGAGATGTGTATATTGGTTGCAGTGTGATTATGATACAATATGAAATACAAAATAAAATGGAGGCCAGGCATGGTAGCTCTCGCCTATAATCCCAGCACTTTGGGAGGCCCACGCAGGCAGATCACTTGAGGTCAGGAGTTCGAAAACAGCCTGGCCAAAGTGGTGAAACCCAGTCTCTACTAAAAATACAAAGATTAACCGGGCCTGATGGCAGGTGCCTGTAATCCTAGCTACTCAGGGGGCTGAGGCAGGAGAATCTCTGGAACCCAGGGGGCTGAGGTTGCGATGAGCAGAGATAGCACCACTGCACTCCAGCTTGGGCAATGGAGCGAGACTTTTCTCAAAAAAATAAATAAATAAATAAATAAAATAAACAATAAAATAATTAGTTAAAATAAAAAACAAAATAAAATGGACTAAAGGAGGTCTCTCAAACAAGAAATATGACTAAAAGTGTTTTCTTCAAATAGTTAAATATTGCCAAGAATATTTTATTTTCAATCAGATGACTTCATTTCATTCTGAGTGTGTTTTTTCTTTTCCCTATGTGAAAACGTTAACCTGTAAGAAGCCCTAAGAGGTGGTGAACTGCTGAGAAACCCTAAGAGGTGGTGTAAGAAACGCTAGGAGAAATGCATTTATTACTTTGAAATGCAAGTCAGTCACAGGTGTTGCTAAAGTTATGTCTTTTGAAACATTGATAAAGAACTCAAGGTTCCAGACTGGTTTCTGCGTTGAAGAAAATAAACACCACCAAAAAACCTTTTAGTGTCAAAAAACTTATTATATCGTTGGCTTTATTTCCTATAATTTTTGTAGTTTTCTGTGAGCCACATCTTGGCAGAATAATGTCTCTGAACCTTTGCATAGTGATAATTGCATGCTTCACTGAGTATTTTTCAGAGGCGCTGGATAGTTGCTTTGACTACTAGTGTTGGAAACAGGAAATTGTGCTTCTTGATGTTTTACAAAAGGTCCATTCTGACAAAGAGGTGGAAGGAGGAAAGTACGTGTGAGGGTACTGCACAGGCCTTCTTCAAAGGGAGCAGTGTGTGCACTGCCTGTAGCAGGGCCACACGGAAGAAAGCTTGGGCATCCTTTTCTGAAGGAGGCAGTGGGCATCGAGAAAATTCTTGCTTTGCTGGAATCACAGACTATTCTGTTGCATGTGTGATGGATTGATGTGTCTGATAAGATTGAGTTTCGAAAGAAATTGATCTCCTTTTCCCCCTAAAGCTCAGTTGTATCAAGCAACTCTACACTGATTTTTCATCAGTTTTGTCCCTTCATGAATCATTTGCACATCTTGCAAATTAGCCTGGAAATTATACACACTTTTTTCAGAGGAAAGAAAAACTAATTGAAAAATTGTAAGTCTACTTTTTGTTATGGAGAGTTTTTAAAAGTCATGAGATAACAGAGAGCTGTAAAATTGGTGGGGAAGAAATAAAAGAAGCGATTTAGCATCTCTGTGCTGGTCTATTTACATTCCTCCAATGAGCTAGTGTGGAACAGCCAAGCACACTACAGACCCCCTTTCATTTGATGGAATGAAATGTGCCAAGTTTGCTGATTTTACAGGACGATAGAGACTTTAAAATGTGACTGCGTTGGTTTTTATCATGGATCTTGCATTTACTACTGTCCTCTTGAAAACGGCTAGGCGGCATTTACTTTTTGCTTGCAGGAAACTCCTATTATTGGTCTTGAAAAAATGTTTTTAAACCTTTGGCATTCAGATATTTAAAAAGATGAGCAAATAAAATACACAGCAGGCGCTGCAATGATCATTTCAGTGAGTGCATTTCATACAAGTAGATACAATTTTAGGCAAAAGGTTGAAATATTCTTTGAGTTCTTTTTCTTCCAATAAAAGTCATAAATGTATAAATGTTATCTTCCTACCTGAGGAATGGAAAAATATTGTTTTAAGATTTTTTTTTTATGAAGTAACAAATGCTATTTTCTGTTACCCAAAAGAGAGGATTAAAAACATGAAACATGCCCATAATAGAAGCGGAATGCTGGCTTTGGAAAGAATGTAGATTGCAGCTGGAGACAGACAGGAGCTAACATCTTTCCTCTACCTCCACCGTGAGAAAGTCAGCTAGCGATTCCTGAGACTCTTTCCTTAGGTGTAGTACTGGCAGTGGTCTCTCCCTTGCAAGGTTGTTGTACAGTATAAAAGTTCCATGGTTCAAAATACCTCATTAATATATAATCTGTACAATTACTTGTCTATAAAAAAAAAACCTATTTATTTATTTATTTATTTTTTTGAGATGGAGTCTCGCTCTTATTGCCCAGGCTGGAGTGTAGTGGCACGATCTCGGCTCACTGCAATCTCTGCCTCCCGGGTCCAAGCGATTCTCCTGCCTCAGCCTCCACAGTAGCTGGGATTACAGGCGCCCGCCACCACGTCCCACTAATTTTCGTATTTTTAGTAGAGACAGGGTTTTGCCATTTGGTCAGGCTGGTCTCGAACTCCTGACCTGAGGAGATCCACCCGCCTCGGCCTCCCAAAGTACTGGGATTACAGGCGTGAGCCACCGCACCCGGCCAAAAAATAACCTTTAAAAAAGGTTTAATGGACTCATGTAGATGAAGTTTCATAGGCTCTCAGCAGCAACCATTATACCCAGTCACACTACAATTTCTAGTGTTATTAATATCATTATACATTGTATTAATACTACTGTTTATCCGCAGTAAGAATTGTAGCTGACCCAATCTCTAATGGCTAATATCTATCAAATATTGGCATCCAGACTGAACCATGTTAATTTAAAAAAATCATTACAAGACACTCCTAGATGTTAAATAAATCAGAAGATCATCATGTTTGCTATTTTTTTAATAATCAGAAGTGTGCTATACAGTCTTGCTAGCCATTGGCCATACAATTTATGATCCAATCCAGGACATGTTTGAGAGTTGCTCATGTGCTATCAATAAAATGGGATTGTTCCAGGCAAATTGAGACATATCATCATAGCTATAAAGTAATTATTTATATCTACATGAAATGTCTTCTAATTGAATTGGTGTTCAGTTTGTTTCTAAAGAAGCTACACTTCTGTAAACAGATTTCTTTTGTGTTCTGTTGTACACCCTTGTCGCTAGAAAGGCGTATATGTTACCGGAAAGGGATCCTAATCCAGACCCTAAGAGAGGGTTCTTGGGTCTTGTGCAAGAAAGAATTGGAGGCAAATCTGTAAACTGAAAGTAAGTTTATTAGGAAAGTAAAGGAATAAAGAATGATGCTCCATAAGCAGAGCAGCTCCGAGGGCTGCTGGTTGGCTATTTTTATGATTATTTCTTGATTATATGCTAAACAAGGGGTTGATTATTCATGAGATTTCCAGGAAAGGGGTGGCAACTCCTAAAAAGGGTTCCTCCCCTTTTTAGACCATATAGGGTAACTTCCTGACATTGTCATGGCATTTGTAAACTGTCATGGTGCTTTTGGGAGGGTCTTTTAGCATGCTAATGCATTATAATTAGCGTATAATGAGTAGTGAGGACGACCAGATATCACTCTAGTTGCCATCTTGATTTTGGTGGGTTTTGGCTGGCTTTTTTACCGAATCCTTTTATCAACAAGGTCTTTGTGACCTGTATCTTGTGCTGACCTCCTATCTCATCCTGTGACTAAGAATGCCTAACCTCCTGGGAATGCAGCCCGGTAGGTCCCAGCCTTACGTTACCCAGCTCCTATTCAAGATGGAGGCGCTCTGGTTCAAACGTCTCTGACATATATATATTCAAGAATTTGGAAAAGCTGAAGTTCACCAGTACCTCTCAGCTTAGTCATTCCCAGGGTGTATG